AATGCCCGAGCTGAGGCAGGCTGAGGCCGAGACAGCCTGAGGCCGAGGCAGGCTGAGGCTGAGGCTGAGGCACGCCGAGGCAGGCTGAGCCTGAGGCTGCGCAGGCTGAGGCTGAGGCAGGCTGAGGCTGCGGCTGACGCAGGCTGAGGCCGAGGCAGGCTGAGGCTAAAGCTGACGCAGGCTGAGGCTGAGGCAGGCTGAGACTGAGGCTGAGGCAGGCTGAGGCTGAGGCTGAGGCTGAGGCAGGCTGAGGCTGAGAGGCTGAGGCTGAGGCTGAGGCAGGCTGAGGCTGAGGCTGAGGCCGAGGCAGGCGAGGCTGCGTCTGAAGGCTGAGGCAGCTGCGGCTGGGCAGGCTAGGCTGAGGCTGATGAGGCGGAGGCTGAGGCAGGCTGAGGCTGAGGCTGAGGCAGGCTGAGGCCGAGGCTGGCTGAGGCCGAGGCAGGCTGAGGCTGAGGCTGAGGCACGCCGAGGCAGGCTGAGGCTGAGGCTGAGGCAGGCTGAGGCTGAGGCTGAGGCTGAGGCTGAGGCAGGCTGAGGCTGAGGCCGAGGCAGGCTCAGGCCGAGACAGGCTGAGGCTGAGACTGAGGCTGAGACTGAGTGGGGCGAGGCAGGCCGGAACTGAGACAAGGTGAGGCTGAACGAGGGGGAAGGGGTGGGGTGGAGGAGGGAGGCTGAGGGCAGGCTGAGGCCGAGGCAGTGCTTGAGTGCCGAGGCAGGCTGAGGCCGAGGCAAGCCGAGGCAGCTGAGGCTGAGGCTGAGGCTGAGGCTGATGCTGAGGCAGGCTGAGGCTGAGACAGGCTGAGGCTGAGGCAGGCTGAGGCTGAGGCAGGCTGAGGCTGAGGCTGACGCAAGCTGAGGCCGAGGCAGGCTGAGGCTGAGGCTGAGGCAGGCTGAGGCTGAGGCCGAGGCAGGCTGAGGCTGAGGCTGAAGCAAGCCGAGGCAGGCTGAGGCTGAGGCTGAAACTGAGGCAGGCTGAGGCATCCGTAGGAATCCATAGGAATCCTTAGGAATCCCTAGGAATCCTTAGGATTCCGTAGGCATCCTTAGGAATACCTAGGCATAGTTAAGCATCCTCAGGAATCTCTGGAAATCCTTAGGATTCGTATGGATTCCTAAGGATGCCTAAGGATGCCTTAGGAATCCATAGGAATCCTTAGGATTCCATTGGATCCTAAGGCCGTTGCCACTGCGACTGTCATTGTGAATGCGACTGCGACTGCGAGAACAGCAGAATTCTACAACTGGATTCTCACCTGAATCTCAAGGGGAATGCTTCCAGATATGCCTATACACATCGCTGTTAGGTTGCTTTGCCTGGATAATGTTCTTGAAAAGCCTGCAGGGTGGTGTGGGCTCTCAGCGAGTTGATGAATCGGATCATTGGTGCCGCTCTGCTCCGCTCCTCCTCATCATCATCCTCATCCTCATCCTCATCCTCCTCCTCTTCGTGTCCAACATCTGACCGACGACCTCGACAATGACGACCTGTGTTCTTCCTTTTGTTCCTCATCCTCCTTCTTTTCCTCCTCCTCCTTTTTCTCCTCCTCCTCCTCCTGTTCCCCGTCCTTCTCTTCTTCCCCCGCCTCCTCCTCCTCCTCCTCCTCCTCCTCCTCCTCCTCCTCCGCCTCCACCTCCTCCTCCTCCTCCTCCCTCCTCCTCCTCCTCCTCCTCCTCCTCCTCTCCTCCTCCTCCTCCGCCTCCTCCTCCTCCTCCTCCTCCTCCTCCTCCTCCTCCTCCTCCTCCTCCTCCTCCTCCTCCTCCTCCCTCTCCTCCATCCCCCCCCTTTACCCTCCTCCTCCTTCCTCCTCCTCCTCCTCCTCCTCCTCCTCCTCTCCTCTTCATCTTCCTCCATTTCCTCCTCCTTCTCACCTCCCTCATCCCATCCTCACCTCATCAATATCATCTTTTCTCTCATCCCCCTCCTCCGCCTCTCTTTCCTCCTCCTCCTCTTCCTCCTCCTCCTCCTCCTCCTCCTCCTCCTCCTCCTCCCTCCTCATTTCCCCTTTTCGTTTTCCTCAGTCTTCCTCCTCCGCCTCCTCCTCCTCCTGTTCGTCCTACTCCCTCCGACCAGCGACGACCGACGACGCCGACTACGACGCCGACGGCCGCGACGGCCGAGGCACCCGGCCGCCTGGAGCGCGGCGACGACCTCCGCGCCCACGGCCTCCCTCCTCGGCAGCACGGGCAGCCGTTGCTCGGGCAGCCAGCTGGGGGAGGACCCCCCAGGGCGGGAGGTGGGGGGCAAGACGGGGAGGAGGAGGAGGAGGAGGAGGAAGAGGATTAAGGATTATGGAAGAGGAGGAGGAGGAGGAGGAGGAGGAGGAGGAGGAGGACGGCGACGAGAGGAGGAGGAGGAGGAGGAGGAGGACGGCGACGAGAGGGAGGAGGAGGAGGAGGAGGAGGAGGAGGAGGAGGAGGAGGAGGACCAGTGCAAACCCAAGACTCACCAACGATGTTGGAATAAACCCTCCTTCCAAGCTCCCTCTTCACAGGCCCCATACGAGGTTATCTCCACTGAGGGAACTGTCTCGTTGGGAGACAACCGCTTGCAGATCCTGAAGCTTGCCAAAACACCATGATCAGGACTCCAACGTCAGGAATTGACATGATTGTTGCGTCTTGACGATCCAGAATTGCAAGAATACCATTCCTGGGGTTTCAACACCGCGAATCCACGTAAGTGCTGCGCCCTCACATTTCTGAGTCCTCCCAAAATACCATGTCTGGCACCTTGACCGCGGGAACCCGTGAAATTCTTACAAATGTTTAAAACGAGTGTGCGCAGCGCTGAAGTGAAAAGCCAACTGTTGATAGGGAACCTCCCTCCATCCGCGATCCTCTTGCAATTGAATTAAAGTGTGCGCGGCGCAAAGGCGAGAGCCACATGTTTCAAACGGCCCGCCTTCAATCTGTGAAACTGCTGCAACTGTTTGAGACGAGTGCGCGCGGCGCGAAGGCGAGAGCCACATTCCGAAAACGACCCGCCCTCAACCCGTGAAACTCTTACAAACAATGAATGTGCGCGATGCGAAGGCGAGAGTAACATGTTGAAAAGGACCCGCCCTCAATCCGCGAGGCTCTTGCAATGAACGAGTGCGCGCGGCGCTAAGGCGAGAGCCACATCTTGAAAACCACCCGCCATCCATCTGTGAAACTGTTGCCAATGCCTTTCAGCTTCAGGGTCATAGATGGTGAAGAGGTCTGAGGCGAAATGCATGGCCCGCGCTTTCGACCGGCCTCGGGGTGCGACAGAGAGGAGTTATATATATACGGAAAAGGAATCGAGGAGGAGAAGGAGGAGGAGAAGGAGGAGGAGGACGACGACGAGGAGGAGGAGGACGAGAAGGAAGGAGGAGGAGGAGGAGCAGGAGGAGGTGGAGGTGTTCTCTTTCTCCCTCTCGCTCTCTTTCTCTGTCTGTCTCTCTCTCTCTCTCTCTATCCCTTACTCTTTCCTTCGCACACACACACATACATACTCACACACACACACACACACACACACACACGCGCACGCACGCACGCACGCGCGCACACACACACACACATTCACACACACACACACACACACACTTACACACGCTTATCACCGCGCGGCACGGCATCACACTCCCCAGGCTCATCCCTCCCCCAGCAGCCCCATCGCCCCCTCCGCCCCGACCCCCGCCTAGTAGGGCGCGGCGCGCTGCTTTCGCCCGCCCAGACTCACTCCTCCCTTGGCGGACCTCTCGCCCTCACCACCCTGGCCCCCACGAAATCTGGCGCGGCACGTTTGATCCAGCTGCCCCCCTTTCCCCAACCCCGCGTATGACAGCGCCTCGCGCACTCGCCCGCCTGGACCAACCCCTTCTTTGGCGAACCTCTCGCCCCCTCCGCCCCAGCCGCACACCTTTGCCTGAGATCCGACTGGGGACGCGAAAAGCGCAACACCGTACCAACAAAACAAACAGCATAAACAAACAAATAACGACACACATACACAACACACACACACACACACGCTCGCACACACAAGAAACATAGGATGTGAATGGTGGGGCACAGCGTTAGCCATATGGACGCATATGGTCTCGTGCTCGCATGCACACGTGCCTCTCGCACCGTAGCTCTGTTTCTCTGGGCATAGTGCACTTCCACCATGTTCGCGTAATAAGCGTATGTGTGCGTGTGTGTGTGTGCGTGTGCGCGCAATATCGTGATGTAGGTGGCCCATGCAGGATTTTGTGGCGGTGCCGTCATATCGCCAGTGGAAGGGAAAATATGTGATTTGCTCCGATGGGTCTGCGGCTTTTCTCGTATTGGATTGATCCGCGAGGGCCGCCTGGAAGACGAAAACGCCCGGCGTGAAAAAGACGCGACGCTCGGATCTCAGGGTACGGCGCGGAACGACAGCAGCCCCCCAGAGTCTCGCCTCCCCCAGCAGACCCGTCGACCCCCTCCGCCCCGGCCCGTCCATCACAGCGCGAGTCACGGCATCGCCCGCCCCCCAGACCGCAGGCCCTCTCTTCTCCCAGCAGCCCCCCCCCCGATCCTGGTAGCACGGCATGGCATGGCATGGATGCTCCGCAGTAGTTTGCCAGCATTTTGTGTCTAGTGGGGTGCGTACCGGTTCGTAGTTTTGTCCGACGTTGTCTCCAGTTGGGGGGCGCGCGCGGTCTTCGCGCGCAATCAGACTTGACTTTGTGCGCGATAGCATGGAATGGCATGGGCCCCAGCCCCCGTACTCCTCCACCGAGCACCACAAGCGCAGGGTTGGAAGAAGCTTTTCGGGATTGCTGTCGCTCCCCCCTCCCCTGCCCCATTCCTCATCCCCTTGTTCGCCGCACCATCGTGCAGAAGCACCGTGGGGGGGAACTACACACAAGCAGCAGAAAGAACGCATGAGCACGCAAGCCACTCGAACAATGAACTGGCCCACTCCCACGAGAGCGGATGGCAGCCGTGATGTTGTCCGCGCTCGTTCGCGGATACCGCCCGCGTTGCTCCAAAGTATTCTCCCTTGCCGCCGTTCTCCCCATGCTGGCGCCCCCTTCTGTTTCGGTACGTCTCGCCCCCATCCCTCCTCTTGTGAGAACGAGGATGGAGAGGCACAGGAGGAGCGGCAGGAGAAGGAGGAAGACTGAGGACAAGAATAAGGATGAGGAGGAGGAGGAGGAGGTGGACAGGATGGCACGCATGGCACGGGCCGTTCTTCTTTGTTGTTTCTTGTGTACAATACGTGCGCTGGTATAAAACGTGTCGCGCGTTTGACGGGGATCATCCATGCAAGCGCGGCCACGTGCGTCGAGAAGTTCAGGCATCAGTACGTGTCTGTGTTGTTTCGGACGGTCTTGACGTTTGGTCGACAGGGCGAATACCAACATTACAGATCGTCAGGAGACCCAAAAGAACCCTATGACTGTCCAGGGCAAGCGCTTCTCATTCAGGTTGTAGCACAGCTGGCTTGAAGTATTGATCCCTTTTTCGGGATGTTCGTCGGTCTTTCGGGGGAGAGCATGGCATTTGCTTAAAGACGCCCCCGGGCCTTCCCAGGCTCACGCCCAGGCCTGTCAGTCAGCGCACGGCCTCAGTCCAAGCCACCGCCGAGCGGAGACGGCAAGACACCGAGAGCCCTAGCGTCATGAGTTTGCAAAACGTCGACCCACAGAGGTCTCGACCCAGTCCCGGGGACCAGCTTCTCATCCAGCGAGGTCGGTTGACGGCCCGTGGGCCTGCGAGGGCCCCCAGGGGCCGAATGTACAGGAAAATCTTCCGTCGCACTTTTCCCGACTAGCGTTTCTAGAGGTTCTCATTGAGGTAATAAAAAGAAGCGCAGGAAGCGTCCCACGGCGGGGACGGGGAGCCCTCGACCGCTCGGTCCAGCAGCCGTTTCGCACGAGACGTCTTCACAATGTGTTCAGGAGTCGTGCTCTCGCCTCAATGCTGGCTACACGTTTCTGGCCCAGACGACCACGATCCTTTGCAAAAATTGTCACTTGAGGTGCACATCGCCGTGCTCTCCCCCTGCCTGTCCCGGCCGCACGTTTCCCAGGACTCCGTGGGAGTACCTCGGAATGCACGTTTTCATTCGCCGACCTCCGATTCCTTGACCGGCCTCTCCACCGTTGCTGCTATTAGGGTGTTATGCTGGGGCAACTGCCACGACGCGAGGGGGATCTGGTAGCACTAGACAGCATCAATTGCACCAGAACGCCAACAAATCGCCGAACCTCCGCGGATGTTGTATCCGCCAGCGCACGGCCCCCTCCAGCGCGCTTCGCGCACCACGCCTCTGCGCGCTCGCGCGCGCTTCCGCGTGCCAGCATGCTCCCCGCCGCACCTCCGCGAGTGTTGGCGCGCATCTGCTGGTACGTTGGTATATATGTATATATATATATATATATGGCACGCATCTGCTGGAGATTATGATTGTTTCGCTGGTATACATCTGCTGTGCGGCGTTCACCATTCATAGGGGGAGCATTCCGCCCACGGGTCACGTTTAAACGACCCACCTTCGTTAACCAGAGGTGACGCTGAGCTGGTTGAAGTGAGGAAGGAAAAAAAACAGGCATAGATGTATTACGGCGCGTTTCAATACCCCAGGGCCCATCGAGCCTTGCAAGGTTGGCCCCGCAGAGGTACGCGGGCACCAGCTAATCATTCTGGCCTCCGTGCAGGGTCCATTTCGATCCGATCGGTCCGAATCGATATCGATTTCACCCCGTTCGATCCGATTCGATTTCGATGTTATGACGGTCCATTGTGGCCCGATGTTTGCATGGTTTCGATGTGCATCTCAGTGCAGCCGACCCGATTCGATCTCCACTCCGCTCCGTTGCGTCCCGATCCAACGCACACTCCGATTCGGCCCGACTTCCCGACTCGACGTTGACCGATCTGGCCGTGCAGCAGTCCGCTCGGCGGCACCACGGAGCATCTGCGGCCAGCGCGACCGCGGCAACGCTCGCCGCAGCTCGGCGCGGCCCTGTGAGATGCCGGCCTCGAGGGAGCGAGGGTCCGGACCCCTTGTGAGGCCGCAGCAAGGCGAGAGTTCGTGCGGGAGGGCCGAGGGGTCCTCCTCCTCCTCCTCCTCCTCCTCCTCCTCCTCCGCCTCCTCCTCCTTTCCTCCTCCTCCTTTCCTCCTCCTCCTCCTCCTCCTCCTCCTCCTCCTCCTCCTCCTCCTGCTCCTCCTCCCCCTCCCCCTCCTCCTCCTCCCCCTCCTCCTCTGGGGTGGGGG